TTCTAGAGAATTTTCGTGCTCGAAAGCAACTTAAAGTGACATCTCAAGATTCAAATTTTTAGTTTATACTTGCAATACTCAATGGTTGAACGCTTCAATTTCTATCTATATTGCTATCGTTGCCTCAGTTCTAATAAAGTAGTTTTGAGATTCAGTATTCATCACCTCTTACGAAACACCTTTCGCCGCACTCACAGCAGCTGTGATGATGTTTTATGTGTGAGATTGTATGATTTACTGTTTTCGAAGATGCTTTGCATGTAAAAGTTTAAAGTTTATTGCTGGAATTCTAGCTTGAAATGTTTTACTAAGGCCATCATGTTGGGTATCTCGTATTGAGAGATTAACTGCAAGCATAATGTGAAGTTTTGGATACTTGCTAGTTATACATGTTTTAGTCGAAATGGATAAATATGTAATATCTACCTGTGTATGCATCAATATCAAAGCATGTGTTTGGATTGTTCATATATTAGGTGGGCCATGCCATAGAAGTTTTTGGTGTCCATTACACGAAATATGGATGTTTGTGTCAGTGGTCTTCTGTGTTGTAGTGCCTTTCATATGGGAATGTTCAGAATTGAATGTTGTTTTTCGTTTGATTATTTCGTATTTTTATTATGATAATTGTTTCAAGTGAAGTTCATTATGATAAATTAAGATATATATCTAAAAGAATAAAAAAAATGTCATTGTATGACTACAAGAATATAGAAGCCAAATAGACAAAAATAAATGAAATATATGAAATAATGCATCTAGTTAATACATAGAAGTGAAAAGTCAATAGACAAAAACAAGAATAAGTTCAATAAACAGAAGATAAGTGAATAATTCACAATCAAAAAAGAAAACAACAATTGACAAAATAGTTACAAGTAACAATTTGAATACTTTTCGAAAGCAAAGTTCTAGTTGATTATTTTTTTTTAGGTTTTCGTTGGTAGTGTTGAATCATTTTTTCCCATTGATCAGATGCACCAATAAGTTCTTCATTACTTCTCGTAGGTGAACCTACATTGGATACTTGACTATTATTTGGATTTGTTGTCACTTGATGTTGTTGTCGTTTATAAAAGTATTCATCAGGACCTAGAATAGTATATGGTAAAAGAAATATAGTTCGTTTTACAAGGTATCCACTATTTGATAAGCAATTACCCATGATATAAATGAATGCTCTTTCATTCCAATATGCTGCTGTATTCTTTTGACGATCAGTGATGGGTTCTTCTAATAATGAACCTGCATCTTCAGGATTCATTAGAACTATTGCTGGTTGTCGAACATTAATTTCTTTCGTTCCGCGATATTTATCAGAAGCCTATTAAAAAATGTCTTAATAATAGTCTGTATAAATGAAGAACAGATAAGAAGAGAAAAGAGTTTCGTTTTTTTGTTTTGCTTACACTTATTTTATATTTTTTTTGTGTTAGTAAATTTTTTTTTACTAGGAAAATTAAGTTTACTAAAATCATCCCATGGAATATCATCATAAACAGAATATCGAGCATAATCATTCCAGGCATCTAAATTCCATCGTTCTTGAAAATAATTAACACGACCACGTAATGACATTGCAAATGATGTTTTTCCTGTACTAGTTGGTCCAATTATAATAAGACATTTTGCACGTGATGGACGATTAAATTCTTCTTTGATCCAACGATTCATAGCTTCACCTACATTCATATATATTTGTAAGAAGAAGCAGAGATTCCTTTAGAGATTGTTATAGACTTACGAAGTTTTGGTGTACAATGAGGAAATGAATGAGGCCAAATATAATCTTTATCAATTTCACCTCTTTGCTCAGCTTCACGTTGTGCTCGTAAATGAACGTACTTGAATATTGCTAAATACCTAAACAAGAACAACAGATAGTGAGATATGAGTATTAAAAAGAGTGTTATTTTTTGCTAATTATACCAGCTACCACGTTCAACAAATTTATCAATCATTTCTCGTTTAATGAGATCCATAGCATGACCAATATTATTTTCAGCTAATTTAACTGCTTGTTTATATATTTCAAGTTGATGTTGACGTTTTTCTTCTGCTTGTCTTTTTGTAATTGTTGCCTTTGGTACTACTGATGGATGAGGAAGATCCACTGTAGTTATGACAATAGGTGATGTTGCTCTTGCACTAGATACAGATGGTGATCGGAAACGTGGTGATCTCGATGAGGAAGGTGATGATGATGATGATGGCCATTGTTTTGAGCCACGTGTTTTTGTTGATTTAAATTCATTAAATTCAATATAATTACCACCTTTTTTAATATATTCATTCCAAGCTAGATCATTTTTAGTTACTTGATAATTACAATGTGTTTGAGTAATTTCATCCAAAAATGGTTTTCTTCGATCGATTATTTCTTTGAATATAATTTGTATATGTAAATGTTGTTGATGATTTAATTCACTAATTTCTTGTCCAATACAAATATATTGTATGTTTTTAATACCAAATTCTTCTTTGATTGTATTCATAACGAGTTCTTTTGATACATTTTTCATTGCTGTAATAGCAAACGATTTTGCATGTAATCGAGGATGTGCTGAAGAAGACGAAGGTTGAAGATTAAAATTACATTCTTGTGCAATTAATTGTCGATTAAGATGACTATATTCTGCATAAGGACGATCATGATCTTCTACACGACCTGTTTGATTCATAGGTGGATATGAATGTTGTGTTGTTGTTGTTGAAATAATTGATGGTGATGTTAAAATTTGTTGTTGATCTTTGTTATCATTTACGTTAATTGATGCTATTGCTTTCGTCTGGTCCAATATAAGATCTAATTGACTGATAATCTGTTGAGTAACTTCATCATTGATGGGTTGCTGAGCTCTAATAAATTGAGAAAGTTGTTGTATTTATTCATCTCGTGCACGATTGAGAATTTGATTTAAGTCTTGTTCATTGTCAAAATTGATTTTCTCTGGTTCTTCTTCTTCTGTGATAATTTTATTTGGTTTATTATCGATAGTAGATACAGTTATATGAATATTTTGATGAAGAGTTGTATCGTTTGTTTTCTAGACAAATATGAAGATTTGTTTAGTAAAAACAAAATCATACCGTCCATGTGACACTTACTGTATTTAAAGTTGTTGAACGATCTGAAGAGAGTTGATTTGAAGAACTCGTATTGTTTAATTTTTCATTTTTAATATCAATTGTATTTTTAATGGACATATTCGATTTAACTGTATAATCTTCTGCCATAGCCAATTTCGATAAGGTTTATATATATATATTTTGAGATATTATTCGAATATCAATTGCAGAACTACAAAAAAATAAACTGCAGAAGTATTTCAAAGTTGGAATGATAGATAAAGATTCACTATTATGCAAAAAAGATTATTTAGGGGATGCAAAAGATATATAGAAAAGTAGGATAATGTAGCTAGAGAAG